AAGTACGGAGTTTCCACACGCTTTCAGAAGCTCCGCTGTAATTCTATCCTCGCTCGGGGACTTGCCGTTTTGAAGGTGCTGGAGATCCATTCTAATCTCGCTCAGACTGATGTCCGAGTTTTTATTAGAATTTGTCGGAAAAGACTTGCTCTTGGATCGTCATTCACACTTGGTGTGGCTCCAACGATGATGAGTACAGATGCTCATAGAACCTAAAATTCTCACTCAAAATCTAAGGGGCCCGGAAACGATGCTGCTACATTTGGTCTTCAGCTTCCACAGTTGGCTGTTTCTAGCAGACAGATCTCTGGCAAAAACTTTGGAGCCCTGGTTCCGCTTTGGTGATCGCTACCAGTATTCACCCTCGCGATCACTGAGAAATCATTGAACAGTTGTCGTCTGGTCGTCATAATGAAGTCAATCTCATTTTGTGCTAAACTGGAGGAAAGAGTTCATAAAGAGTCCCTTTTTCTCAATGAAGTCGGTCAGCGAGCGGTTTGGCAACCGCAGTTTTTTATTGTTGTTTTGCTGTTATATGTTATAACAGACAGACGACAGAGTGAAACTGAGACAGATGACGGCATCTGACTCAGTTTCACTCTGTCGCCTCTTAAGACACCCACGGGAAGATGGTAATGGGTATTCTTACCTGCCACTACACGGGACACGCAGAATAGATTTTCTTAAAAGTTGATGCTTTTAAGAAAATCTATTTTGTTTTCAAATTTGACTATAAGAAGAAGTATCTATAAGAAATGGATGGAAACGTGTGCCTAGCTTTGTAAGCACAAAGGGTTTTTAAACATCGTAGAGACATGCTGCAGTTTTTTATACGTGGTAGAGCCATGCTTATATTATTACTGTAGTTGTATCATGAATGGATCGGCTCGACCGGGGAAGGATCACGCTCTCACAGAATACCAGCGCAATATAGCAGTTTAAAACTTCTGTGTTTCGTATGGTGAGTGTAGAGAACGGGAGACCCTTTTTACTGGAAAAGAGGCATTCTATCTTAGTCGTCACGGGTGACAACGCATACGCATTTTGATTCGCAAGCGAGGATAGATATAGATGTCTATGGGCCACAGCAACCACTTACCATCAGGTGGACTGTGTGCTCGTTTGTCACCCTATCCTATAAAAAAGCTGAATTATGATTGCTGCTCGAATAGGTTGACATGACCGGGGAAGGTCCACGCTCTCACGGAATAATTTCCGCAAGGTTTCTGATTCTATTAACTTTCCCCTAATCCTAAAGTTCTTTAACTTATATATGCATGTTAAAGAACTTTAGGAAAGTTGATTGTGGAAAAAACCTTACATTTTTTCGTTTCAATCCAGGGAAATTAAACAGGAAATTACTATTAGCGTCTTCCTAATAAGACTCAAAATAATAATAACTGCGATCGTCAACCCTGCCTGCAAAGCGTGAAGACTACGGCAAATATTCTCTTTATGATACCTTTTGTGTCCTTACACAATAAGATATACACAGTCTTCAACTTGGAAGGCCGTTTATATTTTGTAGTTACCTATACTTATAATGTTACTACATTTAGATTTAAGATTTGAATTTGCACTTTTGTTACAATAATTTATATAATATCTGTCATATTGATAAGTATACGAGATGATTGCTACACCGTCTGTCTAAGGTTATAAAGCTTTACCTACTCATATTTCTTTTCCATCGTTCTTCAGACTCTTATGAAATAGGTAGGTGGATTATTTTTTGCTGTTATCAGAGGGAAAGTTTTAGTTTCAGTCGATCTTTGTGCTTTTAACGTGTTACAACTAAAGTATTAAATCTTTTTAAAACATTTACGTGCTTTCGTTAAGAATGAAATAAAAAGCTAAAAACAGACGGCGATCTATCCATATCTCTACCTTTTTTAATGATTAAGGGTTAAAAACAAGCAAAAAGTCCATCTGATTGTAAGTAGATGTTGTGGCTCATAGATATCTACATCTGCCCACAGCGGCTCGAATCGTCGACCACCGAGTCCTTTCCGATCGGCTCGATTTTGCATCCCTTTGCATTTATTTCGCATTTACCACGGGGAATGCTCTGAGGAATTGTTCGGATTAATCCCGGCCGCCAAATTTCACGAACGCACATCGCGGCAGAACTCCCGATACCATCCACAACATCTGGATGATTGGCGGTCCACCACTGTGCGATTTAGAAAATGTTCTCTCTCTCACACAACTTCCTTGTGGAATCGATTACCATCAGCTATTTTTCCGGACCGACACGACTTAGGGACTTTCAAAAAAGAGCCTACTCTTTTTAAAAGGCCGGCAACGCATCTGCAATTCCCCGGGTTCCCCTGGTGTTGCTGTTGTTCATAAGCGGCGGTAGTCACTTTCCACCAGGTGAGCCGCATGCTCGTTTGCCCCTCTCCTTAAAAAAAAAAGTAAATAATAAAAATCTAGATGCGTTGCCACCCCTAAGGACTAAGATGGAATGCCTTTTCAGCAACATTGAGCTGCTATTTTACGCTGGTATTCTGTAAGAGTGTGGCTTTTATCCGGTCAAGCTGATCCATTCGTGCTACAACCATGCCAGCTGCAGAATGGATCTACCACATACAAACCTTGTTTTTACTTATCGTATAAATAAAGATATATTTTTCTTGTTACTGTCATATCCGTACTAAGAAAGTAACGAGTAAATTAATTATTAGAGCATGAAAATAATAAACCTTACAATTTTCATCCCGGAGATTTATTATCGTTCAGTCTTCACGCGTCAGTTGAGCACGTTCCCTTAGCGCTCATTGTTTAAGGGAATTTAAATTTAATCGCTGTTCTTGCATGCGACTACCTATTTAAATGCCTGGTTTTAAGAACAAAAATACTTTGAAAATAAAATAACTATTGCAGTAATGCCATTATTTTTGTATTGCTATAGCTGTATAGGAGAAATAATAGATGAATCTGAATTTATTGATTTATAAAATGGTACGAAACCTTTATGTTTGCTTTTGTGTGTTCCCCGAATGTTAACGTGAGAAATAAGTAGAAAATGTCTCTAAATTAGTAAAGGTTACTAAGTTAAAACAAAGACCCGCTGGGTTTTTTTTTGCTGTTTCGCCTAGTAAGTGGTAAATAGCAACATAAAATACTTTCAATAAGTATTTCTGATCAATTTTGAATAAAAATATTCTATTCTATTCTATTACTATTAAACACAGTGGAACATTAGTTTTGTTTATATTGGAAAACCTATATAATTTTTGACCCAGCAAGGTTAAATTTTTGGATAATCTTCCCTACTATTATGGACTATTACGGGCTTAACCTTTAACTATGGACGCGCGGTCTCACAGGCCACTCGCAGTTTGTAATTTTCGTGTTTACCCCGTTCCCTTCGCTCCGCATCTTAAGCGCTCAGTAGCTTTAGTTTTAGTAGCGAAACAGGTGTTAAGGTGGGAAGTTGTGTCGCCGGCTGCTAATTAGCTGAGTTATTTTACTTTGAACTTTGACCGCGGTCTGTGGGACCGCACGTCCACGTTTCTTATATATAAAATCTTGACGGATTTTTTTAGGTTATTTTCATAAAAAATATTTAGTCTCCAAGTGCATCCACATCAAAACAAACGTGTAGGACATCACTACAACATCTTGCGAGCAAAATTTGTCGATTCGATAACTCTGCATTCGAATAAGAACTGTGTGATTTACTTTTAGAGTCGGACCAGTCTGACAACGAGGAAACTATTGAAAATTGCTTGATATCTGAAGCTGATTTTATCTAGAATCAAAGAAGTAACCAAGCAGACTATGAAGAAAATACTGTTGTCTCTACCATAGACGATAACATTATTAGAAGTATCAGTTCCAATTGTGATAGCTCAGATGATAATGTGCCCCTTTCAGAACTACATGGGCGGCAACCTAATTATTACTACGGAAAAAACCGTTACAAATGGGCCAGTAATCCACCTTCCAGCAGGGTCAGAACTCCTCAGCACAATATAGTTACAACTAGATCTGTGTTACCCTTATCTGAGGGAGACAGTAATTCAGTATTTGGAATAAACTATTTGACGAAGAAATGCGACAGAATATTTTGACATGGACCGATGTAAAAATCGCTAAATATAAAGTAAAATTCAAGTGATAAAATATACCTGAACTAAAGGAATTAGATATGATTGAACTAAATGCTTTTTTTTTAATCATGAAAGTTTCAGTTACATCTTTGCAACAAATGGTACCGGCTGTGAAATTTTCAGGTGCTGCATGTCGGAAACTAGATTCTTGATTCTTTTGCAATGCTTACGTTTCGACAATCTAGCTGATCGTACAGAAATACAACAGAATGAAAAACTGGCAGCGATTTCTTCAACCTTTGAGAAGTTTATTTCTGATTCACAAAAATATTATCAAGTTAGCGAACACATTACTGTTCATGAAATGTTATTAAAGTTTCGTGGGAGGAGCCATATGACCTCATATATATGGCAAAAAAACCCTGGAAAATATGGACTGATTATACGAGCCTTATGTGATGCAAAAACTTATTATTTTTTAATGGTTATTGTCGGAAGAAGAGAAAAATTGCTCATTCCCAGTCAGTGTGTTCTTCGTTTAATAAAACCAATTCAATAGTCGAACCGCAATATGACAGCTGATAACTGGTTTTCATCAATCGAACTAGCAGATGAGTTGTCCAAGAGAAAACTTACTTATGTTGCGACTGTAAAAAAATAAGAGGGAGATCCCGAAACAATTTCAGCCACACAAGTCTCGAAAAATTGGTTCTACTTTATTTGGTTTCATGAAAAACAAAACTATGTGTTCACATAGTTCTAATCCCAAAGCCTAACAAAACTGTACTATTGATTTCCTCAATTCATTACAATATCAATATTGATAACATTACAAAAGTACCAAAGATTATAAAATTCTACCACTCCACTAAAGGAGGAGTGAATGAGACAGATAAGAAATGCCCCATTTACTCCAGCAATCGACGAACGTGAAGGTGGCCTATGGTCATTTTATATCGAATTCTTGACTTATGTGGTGTCAATGCTTATGTTATATTCAGTCAGCATTCGGCCAAAAATATACAAATAGGTGATTTTCTAAAAAAATTTGCTCGATCTTTAGTCATTCCACATATACAAAGACGTGCAATAAAGTCAAATAGAGCAAACTATTTAAAAATGACACTGAAGCGAGTTTTAGGGGTAGATATACCTCCAGACAAACCTCCTGCTCATGAGACTGACACATCAAAGCGAAAACATATGTCGTCTTTGTCCCCCAAAACTAAAGAGGAAGTCCAACTATACTTGTATAAATTGTAAACAGGTTATATGTTTACAGTGTTTCAAGCCCTTGTGCAAGGACTACCAATAATTTGATACATATCGAACCCTTATACTATAAAAAAAAAACATATCGAACTATTGTCAGAATTATTATATTTTATTTTGAGAAGATGTTAATTTGTTTTTATGTTAGTACAAGCCTTGTTTAAAGAAAATAATGTAAATTTTTCTTAAAAGTTTAGTTGATTTAAGTTTTCAGTCTTAAAACTGATCTTAAGCTAATTTATGCCAAATAGTGCCTTTAACAGTTAATATGATTAAATTATATAAGATATAGATAAAGATTGATTAAAAGCAAGCATCCAAATTATTTTATTTTAATATGCCTAGATTATAATTAGATTTCACTAGATAAGAATAGAGAAAATAAAATTAATATTTATGTAATATTTTGGCTTCATAACATAGCGGCCCGAGAGACCGTAGTGTGACAAAAACATGACGTCCATAGATAAAGGTTCACGCTGCAGCTATATTATATATGGTCGTAGCACGAAAGGTTCGCCTCGACCGGGCAAGGACCACGCTTTCACAGAATACCAGCGTAAAATAGCAGCTCATGTTGCTGTGTATGTGTACAAAACTGCTGTGTTTTATATTGTGAGTGTAGAGAATCGTGAAGACATTTATTTATAGAAATGAGGCATTCCATCTCAGTCCCTAAGGGTGACAACGTTTCCTTTTTTATTGCTAATAGATCTAGAGATCTATGGGGTCATAGCACCCGCTTACCATAAGGTGGACTGTGTATTCGTTTCACAATCATATCCTTCAAAAAAAATCGGTTCCTTTCACCTTCATAAAATTCTAATTGTGCAAACTAATATTTTTATCTATGTTATCAATTATCATTCCTTTAATAAATAAAGCATTTAAATAATATAATTTAGTATTCTCATACTTTAGAACTAAGTTAAATTACCGTTTCTTCTTCGTACATACAATACTTAAAACTCTGGGATTCACCTGCTTTTACTGTTCACAAAATCAATAAAATTTTTACTCTTACGCTTTGGTAATCACATCGACAACATATTTAAAGCCCTTTTTTAGTGCTACAAATATATTGTTGATCAGAGTGATCTACATGATACTAATTGAAATTGCTTTAGTATTGGATAGGCTCCAATACTAAATCAATTTCTGTAAAATAATGTAAGTATATTTTTACTGTCCCCTTTGTGACCCCTGTCACGCTATCCGTGAATTTTTGCAACATCAGGGGACTTCATTCCAACCTTAACGCTGTCCATTACCATCTAGAGACGGCGAAGCCGGCCTTACTCTTTTTAACCGAGACTCAAGTGTCCTCTCCGGCTGATACTTCATATCTCTCCTACCCGGGGTACAAATTGGAACACTCGTTTGTGCCCCGGGCTGGAGTTTACGTATACGTCAGAGAGGACATCTGTTTTCGACGCCTCGGCAGTCTTGAAGGTACGGACCTGCCCATCCTATGGCTGCGCGTAGACAGCGACGACCATCCCCGCGTCTACGGGTGCCTCTATAGGTCCCATAGCGGTAATTCCGACACAAACCGACTCGTCGACCACGTCCAAATGGCTGCATACTCCGTGCTACAACAGGTCCCATCCCCAGAGATCGTGATACTCGGTGATTTCAACGCCCACCACGCTGAATGGCTTGGTTCTCGTTTAACCGATCATGCGGGTAGACCTGTCTATGAATTTGCTTTGGCATATGGTCTAACACAACTGGTTACTTCGCCTACGCGGATCCCAAATGTGGAAGACCATATACCTTACCTGTTGGACCTTCTGCTGACCTCTCATTCGGACGGATATCAGGTCTCCGTCGATGCCCCTCTGGGCTCTTCGGACCATTGTCTGATCCGGAGTACGGTGCCACTCACGCTCCAATTGCAGTTGCGATCTGCAGCTTGCCGCCGTGTTTGGCACTATAGGTCAGCTGATTGGGACGGGATGTGGTCTTTTTTTGCATCTTACCCTTGGGGGCAGGTTTGCTACTTGCCGGAAGATCCCAGCGTTGCTGCCGATTCTGTTGCTGATGTGGTACTTCAGGGTATGGTACTTTTTATTCCATACTCTGTGGTGCCCATCGGAGGCATATCCCAGCCATGGTTTGTTCGCTCCTGTAAAATAGCATCACGCTATAAGCAGGAGTGCTACTGGTCCTGGGCTGACGCATCAACGTCTCGGGATGTAAACACCAGCGCACTTAAAAAGAAGTATAAATCCGCCTCCAGGTCCTTCAAAAGCGTCACTGCTAAGGCAAGGTCTGAGCACATCGGCAGAATTGGCGAGAAGCTAGTTCACCTTCCTTCGGGAACCCGTGCATTCTGGTCTCCCGCCTAGGCTGTCCAAGGGAACTTCTGTCAGCCATCTCTTCCATCCCTTCACAGAGAGGATGACTCACTGGCCCATGCAACAAAGGAGAAAGCCGATCTGTTGAGCTCTCTTTTTGCGTCAAACTCGACTCTAGATGACGGCGGGAACACACCGCCGACCATCCCGCGATGTGAGTGCTCCATGCCGGATGTACGATTAACACCGCGCTCGGTTCGCAAAACACTCTTCTCCCTGGACGTCAGCAAGTCGAGTAGGCCCGATGGAGTCCCTCCCATTGTGCTGAAGACGTGTGCTCCGGAGTTAGCACCGGTTTTAACGCGTCTTTTCCGGTACTCCTACTCCCAAGGCGTAGTCCCGAATTCATGGAAGACAGCTTTGGTCCACCCGATCCCTAAAAAAGGCGACCGCTCAGACCCATCCAACTACAGGTCTGTCGCCATCACCTCCTTGTTCTCCAAAATAATGGAATCCATTATAAACTGCCAGCTCATGAGATACCTTGAGGGTCACCAGCTGATTAGTGACCGCTAGTACGGTTTTCGTCGGGGTCGATCATCTGGTGATCTTCTAGTCTACCTTACTCATAGATGGGTGGAGGCAGTAGAGTCCAAGGGCATTGGCCGTTAGTTTGGACATAGCGAAGGCCTTCGATCGGGTCTGGCACAAAGCGCTTCTTTCGAAGCTTCCTTCATATGGGCTTCCCGTGAAATTGTACAAATGGGTCACCAGTTTCCTTGCTCATCGGAGCATCGAGGTAGTAGACGGTGCATGCTCTGATTTCAAGCCTATCAACGCTGGTGTTCCACAAAGCTGCGTACTATCACCAACGCTATTTCTCCTGCATATTGTGACGCCTCATAATTATTATTAATAAATAATAATTAAATTCATTATACAGACATTTAAAAATGTCTTAGAAATTATAATTTAAACAATAAAATGCAAATAATAAGCATAGAGTTAAAAAATATCCATTTGGAATATTGAATATTATATATATTAGTAAACGCATAAAATGTCTCTAAAAATCTCTAAATTTATTAAAAACCTGCTTAAAATGTTCAAAATGTATCAAATCATATAAATACAAGGCGATTATATTGCAATAACAAAGATAAATAACATTTGTAATATAATAGAAAAAATGGATTAAAATTTTTCTAAGTTGATGAAGGTGTTCGTGTAATAATTGGAAAATTTCTAAGTTAATGAACGTGTTCTTGTAATGTTCCCTTATATTGGGGCGTTGTCGGAGACACATACCCAAGGTTGTACATATATATGGGGTGGTCGGCTGACCGACTGCTAGTACTAAGGTTGCACAATGACTAGTCCTATATTAGGGACTTAACATAGTAAGGTCTGACGAACCAAAGCATTAATATAGAAGGTCTCTATGATGCATAAGCATTATGATAGCAGAGTTATGACTTGAAGTCCCATATGAATAAGACATACAGTAGTATGGTCTATGAAATAAAGCAAATATGTGGAAGGTCTCAAATATGTAAAAGCATCATATTGAAAGAAATGGGACTTGAAAAGGATTATTATAGTGGCGTGTAGGTTGCTTCGCAGCCTCTGAGACCGAGGTAAACTTGGACTCACTAACCGATGTGTCCTAGACATATCATCTTAGTGCCGGTGGTAAGCGGGTTTGTTGTAGCAATACGACTTGCCCGTGGACATCGCACACCCCTACCGGTTGTGGGCGGCGTCTTAGCGCACAGCGTTATGATACGTCGGCTATCTTTCGGATTAGGGTGAGTGTGTTTGGTAGTACTTTTAAGTGCAGCAAGCATACTCAACTTCATGTCTTAGTGCAATAGCGCTATGATACGTGGAGTTTTGGCTACTGACGTCTTAGTACCGTACTACTATGATACGTCGGTGGTATTTTTAGTTAACAACATTATCAAATTTTGTTACCAAAGTCGATAGGGATCATGTGGGTGTGTTGTGAGGGGGCGCCATCCGTATGATAGTTGCATTGATGCTTACTGCTACTTGCAGTATTGTGTCTTGTGATGGATCTGCGGGTGTGCTGCACCTGATTCGATGCATCTTGTGGTTCTGGTCGATGGAGGTATGCGGGTGGTGATGTCTGCTGGGACTGTATGGGGGACCTTGGGATGGTGTAAGCCCGACGATAGTCGTATTGATGCTTGTTGCATTCTGTAGCATTGCGTCTCTACGATGGTTGTTTGGCGGGTCGCTATTCTCAATGGCGCTCTCTGCGTCTTGGTTTGACTCACAACCTAAGTAGCTTTGCCCAAGTCGGGTCCCTTCATTGCGGGGCTGCAGACTGTCTGCCCTCCATGATGTTTTATATAACAACTTAATAATATATCTCTATAAAGTTCCCACCTTTGAGAGATTGAAGGCAACTTGTTGGTGGGTGAGACAAACATGACCGAAAAATGCATATACTCAACGTCAGTGACACAAACCCTTTCTGATGGCGAATTATTAATATTATCTTATAACTGCCTATTGGCTATATCTGCCATTGTATTGGTTGGTGGAGCATATGTGTTGACCTCATGCGGGTGGTAGCTGGAGGGAGAATCTGAGGAGGCTCTCAAGGCTGCGGCCGAAAGCCGCGCAACGTGGGACCCCATTCCCTTGAGGTGAGCGGTAGACTCATGACACGCTCTGCGGCCAATTGGCCGTGCTGACCATGCAATTGGTGGTGATG